TGGTACAAAAACAAAACAAACAAACAGACAAACAAAAAAAAAAACCTACCAATGTATGTAAACCTGTGCATTTAAAATTCCTTGATATAATCTTTCAGGGATAATTTAATAAGAAATCTGAAAATGAGTTCAAATGAGTAATTCCCTTGCAAAGATATTATATAACAAATATGGCTTAATGAGAAACAGAATCTGAAATATTTTAATCACTAATGACATTGTATCTTCAATTAAAAATACGTAACAATTTTCATATTTTTAAAAACACTGTCTAGTTATTCTTTACTCTTTTTTTGCATTGATGCACAACTTAAGACAACTTGGAAAATATTTAATGGAAATCATTTAATGGAAAGAACAATATAAGGTCAAAACCATAAAAAAATAGGAAATGTTTTTGCAATATCTAAATGGATCAGGTGATTGTAAACACAACATATTAAATACAGTCCACAATGAAATCCTTAGATGAATGCTATTGTATTTAAAAAGACTTGTTCATCTAAAATGTGCGAATCAAGATGGTACAAAAGAACTCAAAAACAGGGAGATGCTATCTAACAAATATGTCTGAAAAAGAATCTGACAAATAATTTTTACAGATAATGACTTACCAACAAACACAGAACAAGATAGAATGAGAAAAGAAAGAAACCAATATTTTAAAGGGAAAAAAATACTAGTACGTACAAATATGGTATTTGCCCCAAAGCAACCAGGAGGTATTTACAAATTACAACCATAACACAATAATTTAGCACATCATATTGTAAAAATTACTGTCTGATAATCCATTATTTGCAATGACAAGGAACTCATGTACTGTCTTAGTTTGGAATGCACCTCTGTGGAAGTACTTTGGAAAGCAAGGTGTTATTATCTAATGAACTTGAAGTATGGGTGCATTCTCTGCAGCAGTCCCATAATTAGGTATAAACTGGAAAAATCCCTGCCCCAGCCTGAGGGGACACTTGCCCAAAAGTCTTTAGGGCATCATAGATTCTAAAATTCCAAACAAGGTAAATTATTATCACTGCAGAATGGATCACTAAGCTTAACCTATCCAGATGATAGACTATAACACTGAAAAGGAATAGATGAAAATTACATCTATTAAAGTAGGTAAATCTCACAAACCTAAATTTCTGTGGGAAAACCCAGTTACTCAAGAATATAAAACCCTTGAATACAGCTATATGGTAGAGCACTTGTCTAGAGTGTGTAGAGCCTTGGGTTTCACACCCAACACCAAAAAGCTAAAAGTGTAAGTGCTATAAAAAATAAAAATATGTGTGCTTATGTGCTTATAAATTCCAAATAAGAAAATATTTGAGGAATACACACATATGTAATGCAGTTACAGAAGGGGAGTGATCAAACTCATTTCATCACATTGTTGAATCCTCTACAGTTACCTCAGGAAGGGAGGACGTGTGATGAAGACGTGGTAATCCTGGGGATATCATCAGTATGAGTAGTCATAGCCATTTCTTTATGTGGGTGTTAAATGAAATTATTTGTATGTATGGATTGTAGTAGTTTTTTTTTTTTTTTTTTTTTTTTTTTTAGGAAGATGGAGGAAAACAGAATGTGATAATAGGGATTGTGGGAGAGATAAAGAGTAAGACAAAAATATTCAAGCAAAAAATTAGTATCAGCTTAAAACTAATATTGTATTGAGGAACTACTGAGTAAAAACAAGGCTGTAGTATAGATACTGGATTGGTTGGAAGCCAAAACTTGGGAGATCAAAGGATGAAGATAATATTTCCTGACCTTGAGAGTTTAAATATTTATTTAATCCTCCATTCCAAAACAGAAAAATTGCTGGGATGTGTTGCGTGTGGCGGGAGATCATAAGAGATCACAAATGCCAAAACCTCCACGTTGTCCTGTGATTTTCTCTGCAGCAGAACTCCTGAGGCTGGTTGGTTGTGGTGCTCCCTCATTATGAGGCTTCTCCTGGCTTCCTCCAGGACACTCAGAGATTAAAGATGCCAACCCATCTTCCCTTGAGTGTGGCTTAGTTCATCAAGCTTTCCTTCTGATCCAACTGAGCCAGACTGACAGACTGACTAACTGGGGTGGCACCAGGGATCTTATCAGAATCAGACAGACAGACAGACAGACAGATGGACAGATTGCATCCTCCTCCCTCTCGGGTTCAGTGTGAGTTGCTCAAGCAAGGAACTAGAAATTCCTCCTCCAGACCTCCAAGAAATCTCAAGGGCACACCTTCCCATCAGCACCTGGAGGGGTCCTTGCTCCATCCTCAAGGACCATGACCCATGACCAAAGAAATCAGCATGGTCGGTCTTCTCAGCTGATGCACCAGATGCAGCAGCAAGCAGAACCACTGTAAAAGACGCCAGGATTTGGAGGTAGATTTATTTCCATTGACGGGCACCGATCAATGTCATTCCCAGAATATGAGGTTCTGATCTCTGGTGGCTTAGGGTTTATGCGGGATAAGCAAGCAGGAAGTACAGAGGCAGAATTTCTTATCAATTGGAGAATGGCTTATACAGTGTTCATCACAGTGACCAGCTACACATCACAGTGACCAGCTAAGCATCACAGTGACTAGCTACGTAGCACAGTGATCAGCTCTTTCTGGGAGACAGAAGCAACCTGAACTAGAACAAGAACTAATACCTGGGAAACTGAGAAAGTGAAGTATACTGGCTGGGTAGGGTGGTGAGGGTACATTTTCTGTTACACACCTAAGGTATATTCCAAAAAGGAAAAAGTTAACTCTGAGAATAACAAAAAGTGAGCTTTTTGGTTGTCTTCATTGTGTTGATTTCATTTTAAAGAATACCTGCAGAACATTAGAAGAATGAGAGATGGTATTTGGGTATATATTGAATATTTCAATACCTTTAAGGAATGCACTATTTTACTTATACCTTTGTCTAGTTTGCCTACCAATTTTCTAACTTTACTTTGCATGATATTGAAGTTATTTACACAACTACCTTGAACAGTTATAAAAGAACTTTCAATCTTGAGGCTTTAGTTAGAAAGTTGATCTTTAAAATTACTGGAAAAATATATTATCTGAATAATTCCAACTTCTGTGATCTACTTGTAACGGAATCTCAGCACCTTAGCATTCTCAAGGCAGTTTGCTTTCCCTGTTGTACTTTGTGCGTCATGACCAAGACAAAATTGAATCCAGTGCTATCCTTCCTCCAAGTAACTGGATCTTGAATTGACCAAGCCAGTCAACAGTCCTGCTAAGGTATAATAAACTCAGCTTTATAAAGGTTGACATATTGACTTCAAGTGTAAATATTCCCAACAATTGAATTTATTTCTAATCATTATTTTCTGTTTTCTACTTGCAGCAAAGAAAAAAATATGCAAATGTAGTATTATATGATTATTTTCTGATTTATAACATTTATTTATCAATGCATTGCTAATTGCTTGCAATTTGACCTTCCATAATTATGCTAATATATTAAATAAAATAATGTGTTGTATTCATTTTTAAATCTATTTTTCAATTCAATGGTTCTGCAAACATTAATTTCTGGCTTAGATGCATCTCATCTATTCTGGGTACATGAATATTTTCTGATTTGTTTATTTGCTTTTGCTTATTTAAATTTAATGGATTAAGATTTCAATTCACTTTATCAGACACCACTGTATTTATATTTATGATAATTTATTTCTAATAGTTTATGTAACACAGTATATCATTTTTATGTTAGAAAGTATGATTGAAGGACATTAAGCATCATGTCAAGAAAGTCGTGCTAGTGTGTGTGTATATATAATGTTTATGTTTACACATGTACGTACATACAGTGACCTTAGCACTTCTATAGTCATTAAACTCACCGATACATTTTGTTAATCAGTTAATGTTAGCATTTGAGTGTATGGAAAAGAACGCTACTGAAAACCAGATTCAATTCTCAACTTATATGTAAATACAATGCTTATCTTGTTTTGAGTTCTTGAGATCATACTTAACAAGTAATGATAATAATTAAAGATGAACGAAGTATGCACACAGTGTGGAATGCTGGCATCTCAGACTAGGAGGCGGGTAATCTGCCTGACAAGGCTCTGATTTAGCCTGAGAAGTCTTGCTCCAAGTTTTAGCGGTAAAGGAGCACACAGATCTATATGGAAAAAGAAATAGTTGATATGGAAATATCAAATCCGCAAACCTGTCCACTGTTTCAAATTCCTTCTTTCTCAATTAATATTTATCACTGAGACCCAATAAAGGCTTCTCTCTAAATTCCTCCTAGCCTGTGAATGAATTGTTTTCCAAACACAGGAACTGCATTTGTTGTTATTCTGTGTAGTAGTTAGGAAAATTGGCCAATAAATTGGAAATAGATTTCTGATTCCATTTGTAATTAGGTGTATTTAATGTATTTCAATTAATCAAAAAATATTATTAGAAATATCAGAAGACATTCAGAAATTAAAGCAATTGTCAGACCGAAGGTGAAACGAACTGAAATTCAGTGACAGAAAGGGTAGACACACGTCAACATTACAACCTATGAAATGTAAAGTACGTAAGACCCACCACAACTGAGTAATGCTTTGTAAGTACCCAGTGGTGCCACAATATGGATAGTGTTGTCTGCCTTGCAGATATGAGTGATTTACCCCACAATCTTTATTGAGCGTATAACAGTGCAGGGACAATGGCTGAGATTTCAGCATACAAGAGGAAGAGACAGACATAGTTTCCCCTTTGGATATGTTGAGTGTTTCCATTTGGCTAAACCCAGACACTGCATTAAGACAGTTGGAAATATTTACGATTCACGTGTACTTTACACCCAATGAATCTATCCCAGTAATACTTAGCCAGATTGGACAGCAAGCATCTCAAAAATGATAATAATCTCAAATGTCTAATCCAGTGTTCAGAGTTTCAACCAAGAAAAACGAACTACTAAATGCAGATTTTTTTAATTACATATACAAGTTTTCCTAAATCCCAATTTCTCCTCTTGCCACAGGAGCAGACGCTGTGGAAGCTCAGTGTAAAAGGTTTGAAGTGAGGGCCCGTGAAGACGGCAGAGTGCTGTTTTCCGCAGATGAAGATGCGATTACCATCGGGGCGGAAAAGCTGAAGGTTACAGGTACTGCGGCCTGCGGCTCTGGGAACACCGCAGTGTCACGGCCAATAAGATGCTGTACAACACATTGGATTCTCATGCCTAAAACTGAGTCTTCTATACTATCGCAGTATCACAACTTTTGAATTTCAGACAGTCTCTGAGTAGAAGACATAAGTTACCTTGGAGAAGAAAATGCTAGTACTACAAACCTCATTAACGTACATGAAAGGAAAGCTGTGTCTCCCAGATTATGGAGGGAAAGAGGGTGTGGGCAGAGGGGAGATGCTGGATAAAGATGATTTCAAGTGGCCGAATTGAAGTCGGGATATTACTGAAAGTAAAGGATGGGGAGGGGGGGATGAATTGGAATAGGACGCTTAGAGGTAAAAGGAAAGATTTTCAAAATGTAGACTAAATTCTTGTTCTATACATTTATAATCACCATAATAATGTGATACCCATGTTACTGAGAAGTGATGCAAGCCATTATTGTAACACTAGGGTCACTAAATTCGAACTAGTATGTAAACAAGCAAGCAAGAAAGTGTTAAAAGTGGGACCAGGAGAGGAGCAGAATTTGATGAAGACAGTTTGAAGCACAATCTCTTATGAGTAGTTTGATTTACAATTGTGAGACATAGCATTTTGATGTAATATTTTTTTAAATACCAGAAAGACTCTACATAAAAAAGAAAAACAGTGTGTTTGACTTAATTTGAATTTGGAAGACAGCACTTGGAATATGTGTCATGTTTATTCAGGACAAGCTTTTACTGGTGGGCCACAGGAGAGCAGTTAGAGTAACAGTGAAAGAATATAGACTCTGCTCTCACATTGTCCAGGTTGAGTCCTCCCTCGGCCTTCTAATATTTTAAATAAGCTATGATGCTTATATTCCTTCACCTGAATGACTGGAATGAGGATGACAACCTCAGTGCCTAAATAACATTCATCTCTGTGTGTGCATGAGTGCACTAAACATATTCTGTTATAATGAGAATTAAACATTTATTTGTACTCATAAAGATAACATGAATGTCAGTTTTCTAGATTGTACTGACTTGAAGGAAGACACATTCTTTTTTATTTTAAAGAGAGTAAAACCAAACATAACAAAACAGAAAAAGCAGATCGTTAAAAAAAAATGTAAGTAACAGGTTTCAAAGCAAGACAACCGGGTATCTTCCTTGGCTATCATACTCTCTTGTTTTCTTCTAAATAGTTGTCCATATCTTCACACACAAGGAATTCAAACACAACCAAATAGTGTTAAACTCATCAGAATAGAATGATGAAGGCATTGCAGGTCTTCAAAACCAAACCATAGGAGAGTCAACAATGGCTGCAATAATGTCTCTCGTTCTCTTCAAAATAGCTGTCCATACCTTCATGTATGTTGAAATTAAACAATATAAAACAGACTAAAATCACTCTGAACAAAGAATAATAGTACTGCTGGATTTCACAGAACGATGCTATGGAATCAGCACTGAGTACCTTAGTGTCTCTTGTTCTTCAAAATAGCTGTTCATTTCATTGTACATTGTATTATCGATCCTCATAAACTGTTTAGGAGAAATTCTACACATGTGTGAATCCCTACATGTGTACCTATCCTTTCTGTATTACAGGGGAAACCCAAACCAAACAAAACAAATTCCTAGAAAACATGAAACAAAAAAGACAAATAAATAACAATAGCAAAGAGCCCAAAATGCTGACGATGTAGGTCTTCCAAACAAGGTGGTAGGAGCATAACTAGGCTTGTTATCTTACATAATGATCTTCAAGAGTTCCTCAGATCATCATACAATAATGTGCACAATAGTTCCAATCCTATGAATGTTAACTTTTTGTTCCAATAACTTATAGAATTTGTAGCACAATAATGTTAGCTATCCTGTGTGCTTATATAATTTTAAATATTTTTCTTTTCCCTTCCTTTTTCTTTTTCATTTTCCATGAGATATTCTTTTCCCTTTAAGCGGATTCTTATCCTTTTACTGTATTTATTGAGTTTTTTTGTATCTTATGTACTCTTACCATTTCTTACACTAGGGAGACAATATAGCATTTACACATTTGAGTTTGATTTATTTCACTTATGAGTATGGTCTAGAGTTGCATCCATTTATTTATAAATATCTCAATGTGATGATTCTTTATAGCTGAGTAGTACTAAACTGTATAAAAATATCACATCTTTTTTTTATCCATTCCTCAACTGATGGGCATTTATGTTTTTTCCACGATTGGGCTATTACAAATTGTGCTGCTATAAACATGGGTGCACATATATCACTGTGATATGATGTTTTCAGTTCTGGGAATATTTCCAGAAGTGAAATAGCTGGGTTAAATGGGACTTCCAATCCCAGCTTTTTGAGGAACATCCACACTGACCTCCACAGTGGTTGTACCAGTATGCACTCCCACCAACAGTGCAGGAGAGTTCCTTTTTCCCTGCAGCCTCTCCAGCATTTGTTGTTGGTAGTTTTCTTTATCCTGACCATCTTTCTGGAGTGAGATAAAATCTCAGTGTGGTTATAATTTGCATTTCTCTAGTGACCAATAATGCTGAACTTTTTATCATGTATTTATTTGTCATTTATGTTTCTTCATCTGAGAACTGTATATTCATTTCAGATGCCCATTTTTGGAATGGATCTTTGAATTTCAGGGGTCTGATTTTTTTTTTAATTCTTTATATGTTCTGGACAGAAGTCCTTTGTCTGAGGGACAGTTCACCACGATTTTTTCCCAGTTTGTAGGTTTTCTTTTGACTATGCTGGAAATTTTTGTCTACATGCAAAAACTCTTTAATAGGACATGATTCCAATTATTGATTTTGTGAAGGGTTTAGTGTGCATTTTGATTCTTGTTCATGAATATTCTACTTACCCCTGTGTCTTCAAGTTTTTTACCTACTTTGTCTTCCAACAGATTTAGTCTTTCTGTTTTAGTAGTTAGATCCTTGATCCATTTAGACTTTAGTTTAGTACATGGTGATGGACATGGGTTTAGTTTTAGTTTCCTGCATATGCAGAGCCAGCTTTTCCAGCACCACTTATTAAAGAAGCTGTCTTTCTTCCAGTGAATGCATATGGTCCTTTATCAAAGATAAGGTGGCTGAGTGTGTTTGTGGTTGTAGCTGTATCTTTTAATCTATTCCATTGATCTTCAGGTCTGTTTTTATTCCAGTACCATGCTGACTTTATTACAGTAGCTTTGTGGTATAACTTCAAGTCAGGGATTGTGATGCCTCCTGCCTTGCCTTTGTTGCTTAGAATTGCCTTTGCTATTCCAGGTCTCTTCTGGTTCCAGATGAATTTTAGGAGTGATTTCTATAGATCTGTGAGGTATGCTAGTGGTATTTTGATTGGGATTGCATTGAATCTGTGTAACAATTTTGGGAGGATGGCCATTTTCATTATGTTTGTTCTTCTTATCCATGAACAAGGGATGTCTTTCCATTTTCTGAGGTCCTCTTTGATTTCTTTTCAGGGCATTATAATTTTCTTTGAATAGATCTTTTACTTATTTTATTAGATTGATTCCTAAGTATTTCATTTTTTGTATGCTATTATGAAGGGCGCGGCTTCTCTTACTTCTCTCAGGCCATTCTAAGAGGACTGTGGACTGGAGGTGTTCACTGGACATTCCCTGGCCTAGGTCACCTTATGCTACTCCAACTCTCACCTCCACCACCCCAGTGACAGTCTTCACTTGTAAGAGGTCCTGCAGGTAAAAGAGTCTGCACCATTGGGTGGTTTTGAGTAGTGCCTGCGAGTTCCTGTCTGTCTCATCATTCTGCTTTCTAATTTGGTTTGGTTTCAGTTTTAGGATTCCTGGTGCAGGTCAAAATAGGAAACATACACTGATGACATGAATTAACCTTTCCAGTCCTTAGCAAAGAGGATGGGGGGACCAACGTAACTACATGAGTGTTTGGACTGGCATGGAGCTCAGGCCACTCTGAATAAAAATTGTCTTTTTTTCAAATAAATTATATTTTATATTTATTAATTTTAATATAATATTCCAAATTACATTCCTCTCAAAATAATATAAGACAATAACTTTACTTCTAATGTACAAAGTTATTTTGGTATTTTATAACATCTTTCCACAGCAACTGTTATAATGGATTTAAACATTTATTTATTTATTTATCTCTTATTTTAAAGAGAAAAAGAATGGAAATGAAGAGGATTTCAAATCAGCCTAACAGGAGAGTAGCAATAAGTGATATACTCTACACTGTTGTTCTTATAGTAGTTATTCAGAGTACAACATATAGACATGAAATAATGTCCAGACAATAGTAGTACAGATCTTTCTTTTCAATGAACTAAGAGAAACTAGCCATTCAATTATCTTAACTATCCTGTGTGTGTATACAATTTCTCTTTTCTCTTCCTTCCTTTCTCCTATTCCCATCAGTTTCTCTTTTCATTAGAACAGTTTCTCCCTGGTTCACAATATTTATTTTGGATCTTATTTATTCATTCAGTTTCTCACACTTACGAGACAATATGGTCTTTATATGTGAGTCTGATTTATTTCATGTATGAGTATGGCCTGAAATAGCATTCATATACCTATAAAAGTCTCAAGTTTATCCTTCTTTATGGTCTAGTAGTACAACTACGATGAAAATCAAATGGAGATTCTTTTAAAAACTAGGATTAGAGCTTCCACTCAACACAGCTCTTCCCTTTCTGGGTATCTTCCCAGAAGAACTAAAGACATGATGCCATAGTGATATATGTGCACCCATGTTTATAGCAGCACAATTTGTAATAGTTAAATCTCGGAAACAATCCAAATGCCTGTCAACTGAGGTATGAATTAAACAATGATTTTGTAGGCTTCTTTGTTTGTTTGTTTGTCTTTACTAGAATCATGTCTTTAGAAATTTGGCACTAACATTTGATTTGCTGATTTGGTGAGCAGCTTGGGAGCCACAAGGAAGACAGAGCCTTGGAGAGAATGGGCAGAGTGATTTCAAACATTTAATC